AAGAAAGAAAGAAAGAAAGAAAGAAAGAAAGAAAGAAAGAAAGAAAGAAAACTACCTGTGCTAAGTCCAAACAGTGAGTCATAAGTCTGAACAGCGCCCCTCACTGGTTAAATCAAAAAGTAATTAACAGGTAGGTTATTATTTTTTAATTATATTTTTATTTTATTTTGAAGAGTGAAAACAAGAGCAAGTACAAAAATCAGAAACAAGGACAAAAAACAACAGGGTAACATAAAATAATACATATGTTACAGATTTTCAAAACAAAATAGCTGATTAACAATGACTGATATATTATCTATTTTTATTGTCAAATCTGTGACTCAGATTAACATATAGTTATGTAAGATTGGACATATGATTTAATATTTCTACTTGCTTTCAAGTAATTTTAAATTTTTGTTCTTCTCTCTCTTTTTAAACATCATAAAAGCTCATTACATATTATAGGTATTAGTTTTTGTAATATAGTTCCATAAATTTTTTCTCCAGTTGTGTACCTTATATTTCATCTACTTCACCTAGACTTTTATTTTTGACAGTTTCAAAACTGATTAATAAGGGGCTGGGGCGATTGCTCAGTGGAATAAGCACTTGCCTGGCAAGCACAAAGGCCTGAGTTCAATCCCCGGTTCCGCCAAAAAACAAAAACCTCTTTTTTTTTTTTTTTTTATTTTCACACTACTCCAATCCACTGTCTTTTTTTTTTTCATGTAGGTATTTGGTATAGGGTCTCGCTATGCAGCTCAGACTTGTGGTGATCTTCCTGTTTTCAACCTCTCCAGTGCTGGGATTACAGGCATGTGCCACCATGCCTGGACTCCTGGCTCAGTGCACCCCAGGGGTGGGGCAAGCACAGCATGTAGGAATCGAACCCAGGTCCCTGTGCTTGCCAAAGCAGGTGCTTAGTCTGCTATGCTATCTCACTGGCCGTCCACTGTTATTTTTATTTTTTGGTGGAACCAGGGGTTGAATTCACGCCCTTGAGCTTGCCAAGCAAGTGCTTATTCTACTGAGCCATCTCCCTGACCCCTGTCCACTGTTATTTGACTGGATAATTTCAGGAGCCATTTGCCCTTTACTTTTGTTTCTCTTTGAATTTATTCTTCCCATAGCAACAGTGATTTGTAGGCATGTTTAAGTGTTGATCTGAATATCGCTATATCTGTATATCCAAAATAGCATTTGATATTTGTTGGATGCATACAGTAAATTTTTTGAAGAGCTCCCTCTTTTATTTAAAGTTCTTCAGTTGGCCCCTTATGCTTACTTCTCTAGCCTTATCTCTTACAGCTCCCACCCTGCTTTGGAAATTTCTTTGATGATGGATGATACTTTTCAGGTCTTTACAAATATCAAATATTTCAAAATAATGATGGAGCTCTAATTTATAGAATGTGCATATATTGTAAGAATCACCTTGCAACTGACTTGGATGATACAAAGACACATAAGCATAAAAGGACAGGAGTATTTATTTAGTGTATGTGAAATCAGAGATTCAGAGCCATCGTCTGGCAGTGTTGCTGTTCCATCCCCAGATTTTGGAATGTATATTGACCCTGTGTAGCTGCTATGTAAACTTGCATAGCAACTAACTCAAATGCTTGTTGCCCCATTTCCAGTGTGCTTTTCCCCTCCCTCCTTCCCTTCTCTTTGTGGTCTGTCTGTCCTCCCTTCCTCTTTTCCTCCCTCCATCTTTTCCTACCTCCCTTTCTTTCCTTCCTCCTTTCCTCTTTTCCTCCCTCCCTTCCTTCCTCCTTTCTCTTTTACCATTTTCTCTTTCCCATTTTTCTTTCAGGCAAGGTCTTGTTTTATAAAGTCCAGACTAACGTTGAGTTAATCCTCCCGCCTTAACTTCCCAATGCTAGAATTATAGACATGCTCCACAATACCCATCTCTATTTCTTAACCTTGATGGTACTGGCATTCTGTGAATTTTGCTGCAGGAGTCATTATTATGGTGGCAGGCCTCTTGGTTGGGTCTGATTGTGAGTTTCCACCTGTGGGAGTCGTAGGATAGGACGTTATGCAAGATTCTAATGTCTTATACCCTCCATCAGTGCTTAGAAAAGGCACTTGTATTGCAAAAGTGACTAAAGGGGTCCACAACTAAAGGTGCACAGTGTAAGAAACTCTTGCTCACATTATATAATACTAAAAAAAAAAAAAAATCAATCTCAGTTTGTGGTTTTCTTCTTCCCAGTGGCATTCCAACACAGTAAATTCCAAATTCTTTATCACAGGAAATGAGGGTTACAAAAACTCGCTTCCTTTTTCTGTTTTGTTTTGAAATTTTTTGTTTTTGTAGGCTCACTTTTAAGACTTATCTCAGTTTATTTACTCTTTTTACTTGTGCTTATTTTACTCTTCTTCAGATATGCCAAAACTCCTTTGCCTCAGTCTGGGATGCATTCTTCTTTCCAGCTCACATCTTCATATGTCTGGCACCTTGTCATTTAAGATTCCTTTAAAAAAAGTACTTTCCTCAGATTTTTCCATAAAATACAAAGGATAAATGCTTGTGAATTCATTGTACAAAACCAGCATTACCCCGATACTAAAACTAGATAGATAAAGTATGCAACAAGAACACCTATAGATCAGTATCTTTTATGAACACATATGCAAAAATACTCAAGATTTTTTTTTTTTTCCTGGCAGAACCAGGGATTGAACTCAGATCCTTGTGTTTGCCAGTCAAGCACTTATCCTACTGAGCCATCTCCTTGGCCCCTATACCCAAGAGTCTTACAAACAGAATTCAACAGCATTGAAAAAGATTATACACAGTAAACAAGTTGGCTTCATTCCAGGGTACAAGGGTGGTTCAATATGCATACATCAATGAATGGAATATACTAGCTGGGTGTGGTGGCACAAGCCTGTAATCTCAGTACTCCAGAGGCTGAGGCAAGCAGGATAGCTATAAGTTTGAAGCTAATCTTAGCTACCTAGTAAATTCAAGGCTAGCCTGAACTACATGGTGAGACTTTGTCTCAATACCCCTCCCCCTAGAAAACAAAATATACCACATAAATAGGATGAATAATAAAAAATTCACATGGTCATCTCTGTAGATAAAGCCTTGATAAAATTCATCATTCCTCATGATTAAAATCCTAGAGAAAATAGGTATAGGAGAAGCTTTCTTCGGCAGGGATAGTGGAGCATACCTGTAATCCCAGC